ATCATTACCAACTGAACAGCTAAAACCGTCTGCTGATTACTTTGTACGTCTACGCGCTATAAATCAGGCTGGAGCCGGCCCACTTTCGGAACCTATTCAGTTCAAAACCCCAAATGGAGGTTCGTGGTTTTCTTTCAAGTCCTCTTAGCAATAAACAGTTTTATCGGAAAATTCCAGGCCCGGAAAATCCTCCAGCTGAAGTTAGTGTTGATATAAATGAGGCGAATATAGCAGTACTACGGTGGACTAAACCAAACTCTACAACAGAGATATTAGTTAGTGAGATTTTATTGAAAGTTAGCTCAGCCTCCGGTGTACTAGCAGCAGCTTTTCAGAGTTATGTGATTTATTTCACAAGGGATCTAGGACTTTCTAACGAGGACTATCGCGAATGGCAAACTGTAGAAGTACCCGCAGATCAGAATAGGCAAGTTACATAATAACTTTCTCAATTCGCAACTGTTCTTTTGAATTGTTTCATTCCACGATGCTTTCGGCTAAAGTTATTTCAAGCGTTTATCAAAAAGCTTAGAAACAAAAACTATCTTGAGATATTCGTTTTGAGAAGCGTAGGAAAACTAGACATTTTCTTTTCCAAGTTATCATCAAAACAGGTCCATTCGTCAGTTACCGCAATGCAGACTGCTGTATTAAGCTAAATCTTTAATGCTCTAAAAACTCTCGGTAAAAGGAATACCGAAAGTATTTGGAATCGTCAACTCTAATAGCACTAGCGTGCATGTGCTTTTGCCATAAAACATCTAACTCAGCCTTTAGCCATCGAGAACTGACTCACAGCAAACAGCTTAGCATGCAAACATTGCAAACAAATGTATCAGTCAAATTACAACCATTAGGAAAACGCCTGAATCATAAAAAGCGTGGTAACACGTGGCTGATGTTTGGCTGTTCCGTTCTGGCTGCGTGCAACTAACGCTGTTAGTCACGGTGCCTAAGAAAACTTCACTGTAAAAAAAGGCTTTCTTCCGCCATAACTTGAACAAATGAGTAGAGGAGACCATTTTGTCAAAAAGCTTTTTTTGCAGTAAATTGTCTGATTCGTGAGAAAGTGCACGATAGGTTGGTGCAGCTGCGGCCCCATGTGTCAGTAGCAGGCACAAATGTTGTACTTTATTCTGCTAGAAACGAATTTTCAAATTCTTCCGGAGCTAACATGAAATTTTATACGAGGTTTTTTTGTACTATCTGTTGTAATGCGGAAAACTGCAAGTTTTAAAATTTCTAAGTGTAGAAAATTACCAGTAAAGTAGCCCTTTAATCCTACTTTTAAAACCCTAAAAATGATCTCCGTTCAGGTTCAAATTTGACCATCAAGTTGGATTGAAACCAAAAACGTTTTATCGCGTCAGAGTCAGTGCAAAAAATGACGTTGCAGAAGGACCTGTGAGTGAAACAAAAGAATTCGAAACTGCACACTCCGGTTAGTTTGCAATACCTACCCATAACCATTTGTGTTTAGCAGTACAACTTTAAACTGGAAAAAGCGACTTTCTTCATA